TTTTTTTTTTTTTTTTTTTTTTGAGACGGAGTTTCCCTTTTGTCGCCCAGGCTGGAGTGCTGTGGCACGATCGCAGCTCAGTGCAACCTCTGCCTCCCGGGTTCAAGCAGTTCTCCTGCCTCAGCCTACCCAGTAGCTGGGATTATAGGAGTGAGGATTACAGGGCTCAAGCAGTCCTCCCACCTTGGCTTCCCAGAGTGCTGGGATTGCAGGTGTGAGTCACTGTGCTTGGTCTAAAATGACTCTTAAGTTTATTTTTCTTAGAGGCAGGTGTACAGCAAATGGCTTCTTGTTAGAGTACTCATGTCCTCCCTCCTCTCAGTTTTCATTGTGATGAAAACCTTGGTCAGGTAAGATTTCATTGTGTCTAATAGTCTAAATTGAAGTATATGTACTCTTTTTTTTTTTTCAATTTTCTACCCTAATTACTGTGAATATGTCTTCATGACCTTATTTTTAGATAGAAATATAACTTCCTTCTCTTCTTTACAGCTGCATCCAGATCTCATTATGCATCAGGAAAATGAAAAAACAGAGGAAAATTCTATGGAGGAAAGGAATCCACTTAGCCTTTTCTGAGAAATGGAACACTGGGTTTGGAGGCTTTAAGAAGTTTTATTTTCACCAACACTTGTGCATTCTGAAAGCTAAGCTGGGAAGGCCAATTACTAGGAATAGACAGTTGAGACATTTCCAGGGTGGAAAGAAAGCCCTTCAGATCCAGAAAACATGGGTCAAGGATGAACCCCCTTGTGCTAAGACCAAGTTCAGTGTGGATACTCCACATGCTAGCACTCTGTCCTCTCCAGTGAAAAGAAAGGACACTAAACACTTCGTTTCCTCCTCAAGGACTCTCCTGAGACTCCAAGCAGAGAAGTTGTTGTCATCAGCAAAGAATTCTGACCATGAATACTGCAGAGAGAAAAATCTCTTGAAGACAGTTACTGACTTTCCATCCAATAGTGCTTTAGGTCAGGCCAATGGTCACAGACCTAGGACAGACCCACAGGCTCCTGACTTTCCCATGAAGTTCAATGGGGAGAGCCAAAGTCCAGGGGAGAGTGGCGCGATTGTGGTCACCTTGAGCAACCACAAGAGAAAGGGCTTTTGTTACGGCTGCTGCCAAGGGCCGGAGCACCACAGGAATGGGGGACCCTTGATTCCAAAGCAGTTCCAACTTAACCGACATAGAAGAATCAAATTATCTCCTCTTATGATGTATGAGAAATTATCCATGATTAGATTTCGGTACAGGATTCTCAGATCCCAGCACTTCAGAACCAAAAGCAAAGTTTGCAAGCTAAGAAAAGCCCAGCGAAGCTGGGTACAGAAGGTCACTGGGGACCATCAAGAGACCCTTAGGGAGAACGGTGAGGGTGGCAGTGGCAGCCCATTTCCTTCCCCAGAACCTAAAGACCCTTCTTGTCGGCATCAGCCGTACTTTCCAGATATGGACAGCAATGCTGTGGTGAAGGGGACGAACTCTCATGTGCCTGATGGCCACACTAAAGGAAGCCCTTTCTTGGGCAAAGAGCTTAGTTTAGACGAAGCATTCCCTGACCAACAGAATGGCAGTGCCACACACGCCTGGGACCAGTCATCTTGTGCTTCTCCTAAGTGGGAGTGTACAGAGCTGATTCATGACATCCCCTTACCAGAACATCATTCTAATACCATGTTCGTTTCAGAAACTGAAAAAGAAATTATGACTCTGGGTCAGGAAAATCGGACAAGTTCTCTTAGTGATGACGGAGTAAAACTGTCAGTGTCTGGAGCGGATACATCTGTGAGTAGTGTAGATGGGCCTGTGTCCCAAAAGGCTGTTCACAGTGAGAACTCATACCAGATGGAGGAGGATGGATCTCTCAAGCAGAACATTCTTAGTTCTGAGTTGCTGGACCACCCTTACTGTAAAAGTCCACTGGAGGCTCCCCTGGTGTGCAGTGGACTCAAACTAGAAAATCAAGTAGGAGGTGGAAAGGACAGTCAGAAAGCCTCTCCAGTGGATGATGAACAGCTGTCAGTCTGTCTGTCTGGTATGCACTTTTCCCTTATTCTTCCCCAGACTCCAAGCTCACACTTGCTGTCCATTATCCTTGCTAATAAGAGTCTTACTTTTTTCTCCCACACATGGATTTTTCTTTAAACCAGTTAGTCTTCTTGAAGCCTTTTATATTACTGCATTGTGTAGATGTTCCATAATTTAATCCTCGTGGACAGTTGCATTGATTCCATGTTTTTCATAATCTTAGAGTGCGATGAAATTATTTCTTTACATTTATACATTTGTTTCTGTAAGCTAAATTCTCATTATTAGAATTGATGGTGAAGTAATATTCACACTTAAAATTTTAAGAGAATTGAGTTAACCTCCAAAAAGTTGAACGGGTTTACACTTGTTAAGCTTTGCCAGTCTTATAGATCACAGAGTTTTGTTTTGATTTGCATTTTTGAGTTTTAAGTTTGAACATCTTTTTCTGTGTTTATTGGCCACTTTTTTGTGTGTCCATGGTTTTCCTTTGCCTATTTTCCTTTTTTTGAGATGGACTCTTACTCTGTCGCCCAGGCTGGAGTGCAGTGGTGCGATCTTGGCTCACCACAACCTCTGCCTCCCAGGTTCAAGTGATTCTCCTGTCTCAGCCCCCCGAGTAGTTGGGATTACAGGTGCCAACCACCACGCCTGGCTAATTTTTGTATTTTTAGTAGAGATGGGGTTTCACCATGTTGGCCAGGCTGGTCTCGAACTCCTGACCTCAGGT